CTCTTTGTCCACCACCTTGCTGCAACAAAAGTCCACTTGTCCTCCACATGCATTGGCTATTGAAATATTGACATATTAGCACTCAGACATTTTGTGGCCACAGCCACACAATTTCACTATAATCATGCAAAGTTGACTTACCCTAATCACATTGTTTCATGATCCTGTGTCTCCATAACCTGCTTTCACTCCCTGAGTGGCTCTCTCCCTTTGTGTCTGTGTGTGTTTGTGATTGTGTGAATGGAGACAGGTGTGCTGTATCCCATTCTGTAATCAAGTTGGTACTCTATTGGATAATAAAAGTCCCAGTTATTTTATTGTTGATCTTACTGACTTAAGTTATGTGCTACAGCAGCAGTGATCGTCATAAGGCAATCCTGTCCCATTAATATGTTACATGTACATTTGCTTACAGACAGTGGAACACTGGCTTTAAATGAAAGTTACTAGGTGTTTATTCTTTTAATAAGGAATCTATGACAAATACAGTGTTTTCTTATCCCTGACCTTTGTTAATTGTTCTATCAAACAAGTGAACCAATTGCTGAGATATAGCACACCTCAAAATCAAGAAAGCCTCGCCAGCCCCCCATAAAGCTTTGACGATCCATAGTGGGGGTCCCCCAGGTTGGGAACCATGTGGAATACTTCCTTTATTCGTGTTTGGTTACTGTTTTGCCCCCCCCAATAAGCAATTAAACGGGAGTTGAAATATTATATTTTTTTCAAAAATCTTTATTTTCCACAAAAAAGGGAATTTCAGTTAATGGAAAAATAACTTTAAAGAGAAAGGTTAGTCAACACAAAAGAAAAATAAATGCAGTTAAGTTGTTAAATGACTGCTGCCATAAAGCACAAACAATTTGTGAAAAATTTCATCACACAGCTAAATAAATGTTGGGTTCCAAATGATGAAACAAAATAAACACTTAGACATTTGATGTGAATGCATAATGTCGACTAAATAATACGTCATTATAAACATTAACATGATTGAGGACGTTAGCTACATGATGGTTTGAGAAAATTGTCCTCTTTACAGGTTATAATGCTCAAGTTGACAAAGTGTAACACGTGAGGGGATTACATATCAAAAGTACATTAACACCCACAAGTCCCTGTGTTAAAATCCCTACATGTAATATGTGTATCAAAAAAGAACATGTAAATATTAAGACCTGAGTTCTGCTGATAATTGCAAAGCAAGAACATGTTTTGGTAATTTTTGTAAACTACACAAATTCTAAAAAACCTATCCAAAATTACTAATGTAAAAAATAAAGTTTGACATTTAAACTTTTTTTTTTTTTAAATAAGACCAATTTATTTCACAATATTTCTAATTGGATCTTGTTGCATGTTTCTGAGTAATAAAAATCAGTCATCTCAAATGAAAAGGGACTGAAACATTATATTCAGCCACTACATTACACAATGCAAACTAGACATTCACATTTTTACTGAAATATAAGAAAATATTTACAATATAAAAATATTCACCACACAAATTTTAATAAAATGCATACATACCTTTTTCACAGCAGCCATTCAGACATGAAATAGTAGGGTACACACAGGTGTTACTAATAATAACATTTAAGGCTCTGTTCCATTTAGTCTAGCAAAGCCTTTCCAGTGAGCCACCAGCAGCACCCTGACTATGTTTGACCTGAATAGAATGGAACCTTGATTACGATAGTATCAATGGCACCACTTGTGTTTACCATACTATATTATGTCAAAATGGCTGCTGTAAAAAAGGTCTATTATGGCTTTTTAAGTCAAAAGTTCATGTGTATATGTATTTGTGTGCAGACTTCCGATCTCAACAAGCTAATAAGGAATGTGTGCTTGCATATATTTGGTTGGCCTAAGCAGTGTGGAGTTGAGCCATGACTTTTTGTGTTTCTGTGCCCCCACCCGGCTGGGCCCCATCCAGTGCTCTCATAGAATATCACTTAATCTCATTGTAATCAGGAGAAGAAATGTTCTGATGCATTAAAATTTGTTGCATTAAAACATTCATTATATAAAAGGATGTTTGTTTATTTTTGCATTTTCCTAGTTTTGTGACTACACACTACTTTTGTGTGCCAATGCCATTCATATCCATAACATCCTAAACTCTGCTGTGACGCTTAGATTTGCGAGTTGGTGTTACCTCGGTGCTTTTTCTCTTGCGGAGGCTTCTCTTTTGAGATGATTGAGGGCTCTTTTCTTCATCGAACAAAGACTCCTCTGCATTTTTAACTTTAGCGCTGCAGCGTCTGGATTTGGTGTGGGGTGTGATTATTATTGAAGGAATTGACCTTCCTCTTAAAACCCTCTTTCCAATCACTTGAGGCTCCTCTTCCTCTGACATACTCTCCTCATCTTCCTCGTCCTCTTGATTTATACCTGCTGTCTCTACCTCTTCATCTGTATCCAGTCCTAAATTTATGATGTCTCCCTTTTCACTAGTACTCTCAACAGCTCCCACATTGTTCTGTAAGTTATCTTCTCTGCTGCTTTTCTCCAGCTTCGGTTCATCAGCAGGACCTTCAGCTTCCTTGTCGTCGTTGTCCTTATCTGATTCCACTGTATTCTCTTCCTCCTTGTCAGTGGCTGCTTCAGTCTCACCTCCCTCATCCTCTTCATCATTTTCCTTGTAATCCACTCTTGGTCTTTTCCGTACAGATCTTCGTTTTGGAAGTTGGATTTCTTCTACTTTGTCTTCTTCTTTGTCCGCAACAGTTTTCCGCTTCCCTCTGAGACTTCTGCTTTCGCCCTCTGAGGAATCCTGAGGTTTATCTTCTTGACTTTCTGATGGGTCTTCCTCCAATGATTCCATTTCTTCTGTTTCTGGTTCTTCACCAGCTGACTCGACCAATCTGTCGTCAGCTATTACCTTAGCCTGGTCCTCTGCATTATCTTCAGCTGGAGGCCCTGCCTCTTGTCCAGTAGGTAATATTTCATCAGTTTGCTCTCTGTTTTCAGGAGAATCTTCAGAAAATTGATGCACTTCTTCTGTTTCCTCATCCTCAGTGGTTTCCTCTTCCTGCTCTTCCTGCTCCACTGCTCCTTGGCCTTTCTGTTTCCTGGATCTTTGTAAAGATGTGGCGAGTGAAGTTTTTGTTTTGCTCTTGAGTGTTCTTGTTGTTACAGCTAGAGCTTGTTCCTCTGCCACCACAGATTCATCTGCAGCTAGTGCCTCTCCTTCAACAATGGCAGTGTGAGATCCCATTTCTGCAGCTGCAGTAGATTTTTCTGTTACTGTGGTTTCCTCTTCCTTGGCTGACTTTATCTCTTCTACGTCAACCATGTCAGTACCGGTCTCATCCCCAGCTGCCATGTTGTTGTCCTCTTTTTCCAGCACAGCTGTTTCATTTGTCAAGGTATCTGTTATTTGTTCTGCAGATTCTCCCCCTGCCACACTTTGAACTTTGTCCTCTTCAACATCTTTGTCTTTCTTTACCCCCACTTCCATACTTGTTCCCTCTTCCTCAGCCTTCTCCCCTTTCACCTCAGGCAGTTCATGCCCTGCCTCTTCTTCCTCCCCTTCAGTCTCTTCAGCAGGAGTAGTCTCTTCTCCCTCTTCCTCTGGCTGACATTGTGTGTGGGCTTTTTTAGATTTACGTCTAGGTGTGGCAGGAGAAGACCTCCTCCCCTTCTTCAGAACCCGTGTTTCTATTGCCAGTTCTGTACCTGTATCAGCACTCTTTTCCACCACTGTCCCTTCTTGTTCAGTTTCTTCGTGTTGGTTTTTTGCAGTCTTGGATCTCTGTGTGGCTTTCACTGCCTTCCTGCCACTCCTAAGAACTCTTGTTTCAACAACTGATGTTTCTTCCTCATCAGTAACCTTTCCCCCATCTATATTAGGAGTCTCTTCAGCACCTTCCACAACAAGAGTCTCTTCCTGTCCATGTGCATGTGTCTCAGCAGGCTGTTCCTCTTCAGCTGTCTCTTGCTCTGGAAGTGATTCCTCTAGCACAGCTTTTACTTTTTTAATCTCAACTTTTGTCTCTGTGTTGTCTTCTTCATTGGCTACAGGTTCCTCCCCATCCTTTTCTTGTGTTTTCTCATCACTGTTGTCTTTTTCCTCATCAGTTTTAGATTCCTCTATTTGTATGTCTTCAGCCAGAGTTGCTTCCTTTTCTCCATCGTCCTCTGTCTGACACTGTCTCCGGGCTCTTTTGGATTTACGCTTAGGTGTGGCAGGAGCAAACCTCCTTCTCTTCCTCAGAACTCTTGTTTCTACTGCTACTTCATCTTCTGTGCTTCTCTCTCCAGCTGCCTCTTCCTCTTGCTCATTATCTTCTTCTGGCTCCGTGTTTTCTTCTTTCTGAGCAGCAGCTTCCTCCTCAATCTTCTCATCTTTGTTGTCCTCTTTTTCTGTAGATTTTTCCAGCGCTGCTTCGACTTCCTCTGCTTGCATCTCTTCAGCTGGAGTGGATTCTTTCCCTGCCACACAATCTACTTCTTCCTTTTCCACATCTTTGTCTTCCTTTAACCCCATTTCCACACTCTTTCCTTCTTCCTCAGCCATCTCACATTTCTCCTCATGCAATTCCTGCCCTGCCTGTTCTTCCTCTCCTTCAGTCTCTTCAGCAGGGGTAGTCTCTTCTTCTCTCTCTTCCTCTGGCTGACACTGTGTGCGGGCTCTTCTAGATTTACGTCTAGGTGTGGCAGGAGCAGACCTCCTTCCCTTCCTCAGAACTCTTGTTCCTACCGCTGATTCTTCTCCTTCTGTGCTTTTCTCTTCAGTTGCCTCTTTATCTTGCTCATCTCTTTTTGTGGTTTTGCTTCTTGCCGTGGCTTTAACTGTCTCTTCACCACTTCTCAGAACTCTTGGTTCAATAACTGGTGGTTCCTCCTCAGAAACACCTTCTGCCTCATCATCCTTTGCGGTCAACGGTGCCGGTTCAGCTATGGAGGTTGACTGTTCCCCCTCCACGGTATCTTGCATTGTGACTGCTTCCTCGGCAGCATCATCCAAGGTCTTTCCCTCATCAGCACCAACTGGAGCCTCTGCATCAGTACTGCTGGTCTGTCCCTCTTCTGCCACAGGATCCACTTTCTCTGGTTCTGTATTTTCTGCCTGTTGAGTTGCATCCTTTACTTCAACTCTATCCCCCTCCTCCTTATCAATCGTCTGCTGTTCCTCTTCTTCCTCTGCCTCTCTCTCAACTGCTGCAGATTCCTCTCCTCCCTCTTCCTCTTCTTCTTCCTCCTGCTCTTCCTGGATATGCTTGTGTGTTCTTTTCATTGTACATCTTGGTGTGACAGGGATAGACTTCCTTCCCCTCCTCAGAACTCTGACTTCAACTGCTGGTTCCTCTTCTCTAATTTCTGTAGTTTTCTCCTTTTCTTCCGCACCCTTTTTCTGTCTGCCTCGTGCTAATTTGCGTGTTGGTGTTGCTTTGACTGCCTTCTTTTTGCCTCTCAGTGTTCTGATTTCGGCAACTGTAGGTTCCTCCTCTTCATCATCAGCATCAACAGTTTTAGCCTCATCTTGTTTAGCTGTCTCATCAGCTGTATCTTGTATTGCGACTGCATCTTCCGCTTTCTCCTCAAACCCTTCCTCCTCTACTACCACCTTCTCTGGCTCAGTTTTTTCTATTCCAACAGGGGAACCTGGAACTTGCTCCTCTGCTATTATTTCTTCCACTTTTGTAGTTTCTTCCATCTTCTCTTCTTCCTCAGCAGCCGTCTTTTCTCCAGGAACCCCCTCCTCGACAGTTGCCATTTCTTCATGGTTAGTTTTTTTCAGGTCTACTAAAACCACAGACACTCTTTGGAGATCAGTAAGCTTGGGTAAAATTTCCTCACTGTGTTGCTCCTCTGCTGAAGGTGTTGGCTCCTCTTCACTGGGTGTAAGTATAGCTGAGTCAGTGGCAGGTTTGGTTGATGGTGTGTCCATATCTCCTTCTTGTACTAAGTCATCTGCAGCAGCTGCCACTCCAGCTGTGTTCTCTTCCTCTTGAGTCATTGTTTCTTCTTCTGATACTCCTTTTTCCACTTCTACAGGAACAAGTTCCTCCTTCTCTACCTCTGTTTTATCCTCCTCTGGGGCCTCATCCACTTCTGTTAGAGGCTCTTTGGCTGACCCCAGCCCTTCTTCTTCTTTTTCTTCTTCTTCTTTTTCTTCTTCTACCTCTGCTTCTTTAGCTGATTCCTTTGGTCCATCTTCCTCTTCCTGGAGAGTCTTTTCTGCAGATGCCACTATGGCTTCTAACTGCTCTTCCTCTATATATTGTCCTTCCTCTGCCGCAGCTTTCCCTTCTCCGACATCTATATTCTGCTCTAAACATTCTTCTTTTTCAGAAACAGCTTCTATCTCTCCCTCATTTTTTCCCCCTCTCTCTTCTATAGATGCTTCTTTAACTTCTACAGGAAGGGGTTCCTCCTTCTCCACCTCCATTTGATCCTCCTCTGGGGCTTTCCCCTCATCTTCTTCTTCACTGGATTCTGCTTCTTGTTCATCTGTTTGCTTTCTTGTTGTTTTGCATCTTGTTCCACCTGGTGTTTCGTCCTCCTCAAAGCTTATTGCGTCATCTACCTCGGCTGGTGGAAGGTTCTCTTCAGTGTCATCTACTACTGGAATGACTGGCTCTGTATCTGCACATATTTTTGAGAGACTCTCTGCAGAAGGTTTCTCCTCCACTGGAACTGTTACTCCGACAGCATCCTTGCCTGTAACTTCTTTCTCTCCTTCTACCTCACCATTGCCTGTGTTAGCTTCATCCACCTGCTTTTCAGTAACAACATCACCAATATTATCTATCTCCTGCTGTTGATAGGTTGCTTTCACCAACTTTCTTCCACTTCTGAGAACTCTTGCTTCAACAAATGGTGCTTCCTCTGCTTCACTCATTTCCCCATCCACATTGGCAGATTCTTTCTTTTCTTTATCAGAACTGTCTTCTTGAAGCTCTTGCTTCTCAACAGTCTCTGCCTCTGCAGTTGCATCTAAAGTTTCTTCTGTATTGTTTTCCTGTTTCCCCCCATCTTCCTCCTCCAACACCAGCATTTTTGCCTCTGGTGCTTGTTCCTCTGCAACACAACTAGAAATGTCCTTCTCTTCAGCTGATATCAGCTCTTTTTCTGGAGCAGAACACTCTCCATCAGCTGGTGTTTCTTCTGCATCCTTCACACTTAGATGACTGCTGGTCTTTAGGTCCACTAAGATGACGGTGGCTTTCTGGAGCTTGGGGATTTCAATGTCCTTTTCCTGAGGCTCTTCAGCTACTGATATGGCAGTCTCATCTACTTCATCAGGAGTTACTGTTTCTGAAGCAGCAGCAACAGTGTTAGGGTCTTGTATCATGTCATCTTCCTCTTTGTCCTTATCTGCATCAATCACTGATACAGTGTCTGTCCCTCCTTCAGTCTCTTTGTCTTCTTGGACTTCCATGCACTCCTCCATGTTCACCTCAGTTGTAGGTGTAACATCCTCTGCTGGTTCCTCTGCCTTTGTACCTTCTTCCACAGTTAATTCCTCACTGGATTTATTTTCTTCTGTTTTGTCAACAGTCTCCTCCTCCATCTGTTTGTCCATTGCTTTTTCATCTGATTTCTCTTTACTAGCAGCACTTCCTGCTCCCAGGTCAGCTTCATCTGTACGCTCTTCCTCTTGTTTCTGATGTCCATCGCTTTGTTGTGTGGATTTAGGAGTAACTCTACGTCTGCCTCTTGAAGCTCTCTTCTGTACAACAGGAGGCTCCTCTATCTCATCATCAGAGACCTGTTGTTTATCCTCTACCACAGATTTTTCTACCTTCTCACCCTTTTGTTCTTTCTCAGATTCATCTGTTACTTTTTCATCCACATTTACCTCTGTAAGAGCAGACTCTGCTGTATCTGGCAGCTCTGTAGAACTCCCCTTCACTACAGTGTCTTTCACCCCAGGCTCCTCTTGTTTCTCTGGCTCCTCTGCACTTGTCAGTTCTTCATCTTCCACCTGTTGCTTTACTTCCTCTCTTAATTCTTCCACAGTAGTTACATCCTCTTTTATGGAAGCAATTTCTTTTAGTTCTTCCCCCCCAGTTACAGCTAATTCCTCCACTACTTCAGTTGTAGAAACATTATTTTCCTCTGCCACATCAACCTCTTTCTCTGATTCTTCATTAACTTTCTGGCTATGTCGTTTAGAATTGCGTTTGGGCGTGGCAGTGCTCATAACAGTCCTTGCTCTCAAAACTCTCCCTCTATCCTGGGCTGTAAGTTCCTCCTCTAGCTTTCTGTGGCGCTGAGATCTCCGTCTGGGGGTTTCACTCTGTACAATTTTTATGGCCTTAACAACGGCACTTCCTGTTTTTCCAGCCTCACCACCCTCTGTTGTTGCATGTGTTGATAGACTTACTACGTGTTGTGTAACTCTTTCTTCTGCCTTTTCTTCAGTGACCTCAATTTCAGTTTCCTCTCCCACTTTGTTAAGCGTTTCTGCTTCCTCATGGCCCTCTAAAACTTCTTCAGAGGCTACCAGCACTGCAGAGTCTTCCTCCTTATGCTCTTCTTCTGCTTCCTCAATTTCTGATGCCACATTCTCAACTGTTATCTGTGAGTCATGGGAAGTGTTCAGATCATCTTCTACGTGTGGCTTTACAGTCGTAGGTGTTGCACTAACATCATCTTCTTCTAGGTCTTGAGATGGTAGGACAGTGGCAGGTGTGTCTGAGATAGTAGCTGTAGCTGCTTCTTTAGGTGCAGTTTCGACAACATCTTCTCCTTCTTCTTTAGGAGCAACACTAAACATACCCTAAAAATAAACAGAAAATTTAATCACAAACAAGTTGCTGTGCTGGTCATATAGACAAACACTACAAATAAGAATTTACATTTACACACACACCTCAGTCTGCACCAATTCAGAGCCATCATTCAGTTCTGTCTTCTGTTGTGCACCAAGTTGCTCATCTCTTGGGGTTTCTGCTTCAATATCCTCGATTCTAAAAGATGTTAGATATCACTTGTTAATTTCCATTATATAGTGTAAGGATTTGATGGTGTGACAACAAAGAGCAGATACGCTTATGAGAAGATGGCACAATCATTCAAAATTCGATTCTGCCTAGATGTCTTTAATTGTATTACATAATTTACTGATGAGAATTACAAATATGTATGTTTCATGATTCAGCAGTTATGAATTGACATTTCAATGTGTATCTCTACAACAATGCTATTTAATTTAATTTAGTGTTACCTAATTTACAGTTAGTGTTCATAGTGGCCATTAAAAGATTCCTTCCTAACATGCCTCCAATGGAAGAGATGTGAAATGCAAACCACAGTCCTTGTTTTGTAACAAAAATAATAATAATTCCCTCCTTCTGTACTGAGTTGTGTAGGAGGACAAGAAGAGAGAATTTCACACTAAATTCATTGTAACTTTGGAAGCCTCATATTAGCTTCAGAGAAACTTTATCTTCATCTATCTACTTTTTTAGTATCAGTGTATATGTTATCCAATATGATTTTTTTGGTATGTAATAAAGATATAGTCTGAGGTTTCTGCATCTTAAAAGGAAGTTTTTCCTTTCCACTGTTGCCATTTGCTTGCTCATTGTGGGAACTGTTATATAATTTTACAGAGTACGGTCTGGACCTGCTCTATTTGAAAAGTGTCCTGAGATAACTTTTGTTATGAATTGGCACTATCCAAATAAAACTGAATTGAATTAAATAGAAAAAATGTTTATGGTAATATATCTGTGTCACTGCAAAGTTTATCCAGCAGAGTGTGCTGTGATTTATAATACTTTGGCAAGCAGCGCAGTGTAAGAGAGAAGAAGCAGCTTCCCGCAATGTCAACTAGGATTAGTTGACAATGTATATGTTCAATTATATAACATGTTAAAGAATATTATATTGCTCATTAACTTCCAGTGGTTCGATGTGCGCTGGGAAGAGGTATTTAGTCCTCTTGTTGTCAAGCCATGCAAAAAACATGAGAGAAATTCATGAAGTAGTCTGAAGTTCAAGATCGCTAACTTTGATGCAAACGGAAAGGAGAAACAGTGTGGAATTAGACACCACTGAACACAACAAGACACAAAAAACCAATTCTTTTGCGCAAGCCTGTGTATGTACACAAGCATCTAGCACAACTTTCTGGGTCCACTCGTCACTTTCTAAACCTTGTAGAGTCAAGTGCTATAGTGCGAGAGATGAATATCATTCTTTCTATGACACCGACGCCTTTATAAGGGTCTTGCCTAGAATCTCCATGTGAGTCACTCTGTATTCCACCATTGTCGAGCTAGAGGCGCAAGTCTATCAAAGCACCTTGAATAAAGACAGCTCTTGGATCACACACATGAGATGTAGAGCTCTGGATCGCTTTCAACATTTAATGATCTATATGGATCCTCTCCTCCCACTATTCAACATATGATGGGCGTGCAAACAAGATTTTACGCATCATTGTTCTCTAATTTCAATCTCTGAGTCAGGGATAGATGCGAGCTCACGGGCGGTTAATTGGTTAGCTTAGCTCATGACACAGTTGCTTAGTAAGCTTAAACTGCACCATTATGGTTCAGATTTCTGTGATTTTAACAAACACAAGACTAGTGTTCTCTCCACACCTTTTTTACTGGTGCACGCCCTTAAAATAATAATCACACAAATTTGATAACACACAGAGACTCATGGGGCTGTGCTTCAACCCACCATTGCCTGTCACTGCAGTCAGCTTCCCACTTAGGTTCCTTCAGTGTCCTGGAATTTCCACAGGACAGAATTTTCCGCGAGAGGCTCCTCCTCCGCTCCAAACAAATAGAACCTCGGTGATAAAACAAGAAAACACACAATAACCAGTAAATTTGTTCTACATTAAAAACCAGTGTTTCCCGGGTGCTATTAAGTGGACACAACGGATCATACGCCGGTTAACCATGCAGTAGGAGCGCTTACTTACGTTAGCATCAGCTTGTTGGTTAAATGCGACTAACAAAAAAAACGACCCAACTCAACAGCTTACACTGCGGTCCATACATACCATCTTCACAAAGGTCTATCTGCAGACCCTGTCCTTAGAAACGGAAACAGTGCCATCACACACATGTCTTATGATCACATCCTTCAATCGTAGCTCGATCCGCATCATGCAAACAAAAATGCCCAATCTTAAGAGATTACTAGCACACGTTACCGCTGAAGAGAGGGGACACACCATTCTCGCTGCATATAGATTGGAAAGAGAGAGCAACCCGAGTTGACGAGCAAAGAATCCACTCCAATCGCAATACAAGGCACGCAGGCTGTCACAACAACACCTCACTATCTGGTGCGAAGAGCGTCCGGTAACATAATCCCATGCACATTCTCGCCTTAAGGTGCTGTCACCGAAGCCGGTACAACAGCGCTGCGCCACACGCTAAGGGGTTCCTTGGGACCGCCGCAGCTACAATATTCGCTTATTCCTAGATTAGCTTACCGTGAGGTCTTCCAGTAGACCAACCGATACAAAATAATCGCCATTTCAATCGCACATACACATATCAGCAATTGGAATATAAGGATGTAAAATTGAAAATTAAAGCGCAGTGAACACAAAGGATATTTTACCTTCGAGGCAGCTGCGCGTAACACGTCTTATCATGAGCATTCATTTTATTTAATCACCACATGATGTGCTGTTTGAGACTGAGACCTGGTTCTGGTCCGCTGCCTGCGGCTGGAAAAACTCATAATCTTCATCCCTGTCCTTGACAATGTCCAACACGGAGTATGCTTAATTTCTGTTTCCTTCGCTTCAGGCAGCACTCTACACATCCCCCTCTTCCCCAGAAGCTATCTGCTCCCTGTCAATGGACTCCAATATTTTTTTTGTTTTTCAAGAAAACAATGCTCATCGTGGTAACGAAGCTTTGGCTTCCCCAGATGCTGGAGGACTTTGTGGCTCAGTTCCCATTAAAGGACTGTCGGGGTTGAGGTACCCGCCTCACCAAATCCATGTATAAAGGTAGGGACGAATCCAACCCTGCAGCCTAGTACACCATTATAGATACAGACAGTATCAATTCTATTTTTCAACAGTCGAAGCAGTATTTGTGCTGTTATTTTGTAGAAAAAAAGAACACAGTACATTACTGTAAAGTTCAATGCATGCTCTTTGTTTCTAAGTGTGTCAGCAAAGTACCTGTGTCAATACCCCGGAAACGACACCAGACCCGTGCTGTTGGAGGGTAGAGGCCATAGGTGGGCCCCACCCAGATGACCAAATATACCGCCCATCAAGATCCAGGCATGGAATCTGAGGGGTAAGAACCTACAGAAGCCTACCCATCTGTTGAGCACCCGTACGCCTGATAAAGCCGCTGGGACGAGAGTGACACCATAAATGATTATTCTTCATCATCTTGAAATTGTCCATCCTAATTAGTGTTAAAGATCACCTCCAGACATGCATGTATGAATTAATACAAATAGTCTGCTTGAAACAACTGATGGTGTGGCTGATACAAAACAGTAATAATTTCCTCATTAAAATCTTTAAAAGGCATCTCCTCCTTACTACCTCATTAAAACACTTCATTTTTTGCTGCTGACACAAGATGTCTTCCTACTTCAACCTGTAAACGTCCATTCTCCAGTGGATGTGCCTGGTGGCTTCAAGTTTCTACATCACACTGCTACAAAGTTGATACTGGACCAGCACTGATGTTGCTGCCAAAACTATTTGTGATGTCACAATCCCTCGCTGCGTAGGCCCGCCCCTTAAAATCTGACTTTCAAATGAGCAACAGAGAAACTTTCCACTTTCAGCAGACTGACCGTGAAACATCCTTCTAGAGTCAACTCTGCACCACGACAGAATTCAAACCCAGCAACACTGTCAGGGGATAATGATTTTCTGGCCTGGAGGCGGGCTTTCAAAACACGACACAAATTATCCTTTAGTGTACTTATCTCAAGCATTCAAAATACTGCAATGTCTTACTCCTGTTTCTCAGCAGTATCCAAGAGCTGCTCTTTACTTCACGGAGAAATCAGTCTGTTGATTACTGAGATGTACTGAAACAGGATGTGGTGAATGGAGGCAATTCCCACATACACAAATAAAGAAACTGAATCCTGTGGAATGCACAGTTTGAGAATTGTGGTACATTATTCATACACCACTTCTTCCATTGCTGAGAAAATCTTTATTTGAAAAAATAAAATCAATTATAACCAGTGCACAACAATCCTATGTGCATTTGATTTCGTAAGGAGGAGGGTGACAGTCACGGAGAGCGAACCCCCACCACGGTGACGCATTTTTCAATTTAACTTTAAATGTACCATCTGTCAAACGTAATGTAATAATACCTACTCGTACGTATTGAACCACGTCAGCCTTTTACCTGAACAGTTTTCACAGAGGCTGAATGTGCCTGTCTGCAGCCGCCCGGGGCAAGGAAGTGGCGTGGCCTTCAAAAAGAAGCCGAATCTGCGACAGAAAGGATCACAGAGGAAAGAGTCAGGCCGCAAAAAAACAGTTTAGTTCAGGCCGTGCATAAGTCTCACACATCGATTCTTACCCTGAAACGTCACATTTTACGAAGAAGCTACTAATAGACTATCCATTAGCATACTACCATACATTGTAGACTGCTGGGTGGAGTGAGAGCGGGTCGTCCAGGTGTGTAAAGTGCGGGGTAGAGGTGGAACAGATGGTCTGGATGGACGAGGTGGAGAGAGAGGGTGAGTGAGGTGGGGGGCGTTGGGGGGGGGGGGCGGGTGCTTGTGAGGCGCTGCAGGTGGCGGATTGCGAGGGTCGCAGCGGTTGAGGTTTCCTGGAGGAGAGGACGTGAGGTCCAGGGTGTCACCGTGGGTGCAGGCGTGCGGACGGTGCGAGTGCAGCGCAGGTCAAGGTGAAGTACGGAGAGGCGCTGCTATGTTGTGGGTGTGTCAGAGGGTACGATGGGCGGGAGCGGAGCGAGCGGAGGCGACGGAGAGAGGCAAGAAGGTTGCGTGGCAGTGGAGAGAGAGTGAATATGAGATCAGAGGGTGTGGTGGATGTAATATCATAGAAAAAATAAGTGAGTGATGTCGTGAGTGGGATAATGGTTTGTTGTGTTGTTTTCGTAAAGGCAGAACAAGCTCTGTAGTCCCAGCAAGGAGATGCACCATCGAAAAATGTAAATTGTCAAAGTTCCCTAAACAGGATCGGTGCTCAACATTCTTGGTAGGACAATATGGATCAGTCCGAATCAAATTGTTAAGTATCTGTATGCATTACTATATGTTGCTGTTGCTGTACCATTTAAAACATGTTTGGAAAACTTTAATGTTTCTATTTAGTCTTGAGAAAATGCTATACAGTTTTGTTTTTTTTGTGATTTGTACACTATAAACAGAGTAGGGTTGGGTAGGCATCAAAGCACCTGGTGACTTGGAGAACACCTTTGTTTTCTTGTGTTTATGATCTTCGATGGCAGATCAAGATCATAGGTTTTATCATAATTCTTATGATATCAAGCATGATAAATGGAATATTTGTCTGTAATAAGGTCCCCTCGACCAGCGAGTCGTAATATAATCTCTGAGAAAGATATAATGAGTTAGTAGGCTGGCAGATATTAGTGAATTTCTTTTGGTTCAAAGTGTGGAATTAAAAATATTGTTTATCCTTTTCTATGTGAATCAGCTTCAAGTATTGACAATGCAGTTGCTATTTTAGAAGGCTTGCTTCAAAAACAAATTAACTTATACTATATTATATATTTTTATTATTAACTT